CAACCTGTGTAAACACTAATCCGCATCATGCTTTTAAGCAATAGCACTATCTTTTCATGTAAAATACGAAGAATTCCTGTTATAGGAATATAAATTGAAATTTATTAATATATATAAATTGAAATAAAAACCAACACAAATATGTTATAATCAAAATATAAAACATATAAGTTTGGCGAAAAAATGAAAGTATATGAAAATAAAATGGAAACTAAAAACAAAATGAAATTAATTTTTAAATAATATTAATTGAATATATAAAATTTCTTTTCACATTACTGCTAATTTCATTTAAATGATAATTATTTGCATTATTTCCTTTATATCACAGAATCTCGACAAGATATACATCTCAAAACATCCATAATAATATCATATTATACTTTTACTTTCAATAAAATTAGAATAAATAAATTCGTTCATATAAAATAAATCGTTAAATTAATTATCGTGATCATGATAACTAAAAAATTTATATATAATATATAAAATCTTTTTTTTATTTTGGTAACCATATAATTATAGTTAGCGCCATCTACTTCGGATTAATAGGAAGGTAAAAGAACGATTTGCGAGTATGGTATCTAGTGAACGGAAACGTTCTTTCATGTAGTAGCCAACGAGATGGAGCCGCAATTGTGTTACATTTCATAGAGAAATTCATAGAGAAACAAAACAGATTGCGAATGCATTTATATGCTAGACATATCGCAATCAAGCAAATATGATTTCTGTAGATAAAGATTACAATGCATCACAAACTATATTCGAACAATCTTCTAAGATCAAATTATGCCTTCTAAGGCATTATGTAAAAAAGAATTAGAACAAACTGTATTAATAACTATATAATTTTTATCTCAAGAAAGAAACGCTATTATATATATATGGTATAATGTATTAGATAATTAAATATACTATTTTACTAAAATTGTTACAAACGTATGTTATGATTGTATTAGTCATAATTAATGAATGGCTTTGTCACAATTTTAAGATATTAGAATACTAAAGGTGTTGTTTTGCTGTACTTGTTTCCTAATACTACATACATTTTCAAAAATTACAATCGAAAACTTATTATTATTTACACGAAAATTTATTCACATTTTAATTTTAAAAATGTAAATTTTAAATATAAAGAAAGTAAAGTTTAATTAAAAAAGTTTAATTAATAAAAACATTAATTCTTTATGCGCTTATTAATTTTGATGAATATATGTATTAGTAATGTATTTAATATATGAATAAAAATATATGATAACAGCTTATGGATATGAAGTAACGTATGTACAATATTAACTAAAATGAGCAATTAGTGTTACGGGAAAGAAAAGCAATTAGACAAGAGATTAAAACAAGTATTAACTTATAGTATTTTTCAGAGTGAAATTCGTATAAATATCTTATATTAACTAGATGAAATATATAATTTTATATTTAATATAATTGGTAATTAAAATATATAGGCATGTTTAACGCTGTAATTCAATATTCTCGGAACATGTTGCGTTCGATATCAAGCCGATATCTGATGCGGTGTTTATACTTTCGAGAGCAGAATCATCGCCAAGTAGCGCTACGATTATAAAATTTTATCGCGACTGTCGATCGGTTTACAAGTCACGTATTGTCAGCAGGAAATGTGTGTGCATGTATTCACAGGTTATCGAGTTACTCGGCTTCTCTTTGACACCTACACGAAGAAGCTTATTCCTGTTCACCTTGACGATCGAAGGTAAATAACGACTTTGCTTCGCGTATTGGAAAGGGTATATTCCCTCTTGAAAAAGTGACACGTTCGCAAATACTGGTGTCGCGTTGCACCGACAGTGAGATGACATTACCACAATTGTTATGTCTATTAGAGTGCTTCTCAAATCCGTTTCGAAGAAACTTCAAGCTTGATTAGGCTAATTCATCTAACTCGGCTCGATCTCCCTCCGTGCAAGTATAATCGATGACCATGAGGTAGCCTCTACGTAACTCTCGGATGACGATAGAACATAATGCGTCGAAAATCTCGGAAGGAGCACCCACGCGACAATACCGTTTCTGTCAATAACGCGATTCTTCCTCCAGTTGTGAACAACAGATGATAATATCGGCGCTCTTAGCATGCAATGTAATTTACATTCTGCAGCTGCGTCATAGCACAGTATAACATCGAACGAGAATGGACATTAGAATTTCGAATGTAGGTGTACGAAGATCTCATCGGATTTTTGCAATAACCGTTGCGATCTAGAAGATTAATCGTTTAGAAATTTATTTCCTAATATAATTAGCGTTTAAAATAAAAATATTATATTAATAATTATCGAATAATCTTAATAAACTTGATTAAAATAACACTATAGACATTTAGTAAATTACAAAGAGAATTATTGTCGAAATTGGACGCTAAATGTTTAATGATTAATAATAAGTAGAGATAATCTTGTTATTAAATTTTCACCAAGAGAAATTGCTCTCTCGCAGCTGTTGACTTTATTAATATATAAGAACCAAACCTACCGTTGTCATCGTATTTACGACGTAAAGGCCTTTGAGGTATACGGGGATCGCGAATGTAGAACGCGGATGGATATTCTCATAAAGCGAGGCATGTCAACATGAACTTTCATAGCCAATTCGCAATTCGCTAAATCGTACAAAGACAAACGGGTGAAACTAGGGAAGCCGGTAAGCTACAACGTCGCCGGCACACTTACGCAGAAGCGCAACATTTCAATCTTCGGTTACACTTGTCGTAGTTTCCGCACTGCTCTGACAGTTTGATATATCGCGCCGTTGTTGTCGACGATATATGGCGAATAAAGAAAAAAAAACGGTGTAAGAAACTTTACCAAGGTGTGCGCATAACTTGTTCTCTCGTAGAACAAATGACCAATAAACAACCCAAGAATTCGAAAATGATAAAAATCGATAAATACACATCAAATGCACGGAAATCGCACTTCGAAGTTTAGGAAGTCAGTAATCATATTGGGAATCTAAACGCGTCGTTTATTGCGATTACCCACACCTACCTGACGTCACGGCATTTCCGTGAAATTATTGCATTGCATAATGCAATCGCGTCAATAACGAGGCCACTGAATTCAGAGCAGCGATATTTTTTTGTACGAGAGTAAGCATTTCGATTCTTATCGTAACGTAAATTCATTGCAGCATCGCTTTTTCTGCGTCGATACAATTAGTAATAAAAATAAACTAATTTATTTCATATGTTCGAACTAATTTACAATGCGTTTTATGTTTTATTTTAGTTCGATTATTGGCAACAAATATTTTCTTGTTAGTTGAAATTGTTAAATATGAATAATTTCTAAACCAGCTCTCTATATGAATTCTCCAGAGTCATGCTCTGTATATTGGCGTTTTCAGGATTAAACCGACAGGTACAAAATGCGAAATGCAGCAGCAGAAACGGAACAAAGACAGAACATGATAAATGGAGAACGACTACTAAATCATGATTTTGTATTATTTCGTTCAAACAGCATATTCGCGTGAATGAGTAACCGAATGATAGCCGAATTTTGCGGACACGTTTGATATCACCTAATTATTTGCCACTTCTATTCATGGTAAACGAGCCGTTCTTCGATTCTTTGCTGTATCATTTCCGCCATCGGAGATAGAAAAAGCAATTGACATGCAAATTTTCGGTGAACTCCATGCCGACCGCTATTGTTGTTTTATCCGGCGCGGAAATACGTAATTTCGTATTTTACATTGTGAACATTGAACACGAATGTCATGCGTATCCAAATTTTATAAAAAAGAAATTTTACAATAAACAATATTAAGCACGAGAATTTCAGAAGCGATTTTATATTGATTTCCGATAAAATAAACAAAAATTAAATATTGCACAAATGTGCATGTAATAATTAATAATTAATTAAACTAACTGAAAAGAATTACGAATGTTTAATATAAATACGTTTAAAAAAAATGAGTTTATGAGCAAAGTAGAATGAAAGGTACGAGAAATAAGATCTATTGAGTCGAGCGAAAGGATATACAGAAGATTGTCCAATAGTTAATTGGCAATTGAGGCAATTACAGCTTTTAATTGACAATTTCTTAATAGCCAGAACTAATCAATAATAAAGAAAATTAAGCCAAAAAGATAGAGAGTCAACGAAGATGAAGAAGTTTATATAACAGAAATATCTGTATAAGTTGCGAAATAAATAATATATTAATAACAGTTATTTACGAAAAAATATAGTCTGTTAAAAAGAGATACTAGAACATCATACACTTAAATTTTTATCTCTGGTATATATAATACCTATGCTGGTATATAATTTTTCAGTTTAATGTACATTCAATAAAATTGATGAAGCGTGATGTATCTATTTTTAGTGATTCTAATATGTTGTTATACAAACTGGCCGGAGTTTCTACTTGCAGATTTAGTGTGAACATATCCCGTTGGCTTTTATCGGCACATTTGTCTTTTATATTGAACATTATATTCTTACTCAGCGTAAAAATAGCGAGACGACGATCTTAAAATCTTCTCTAAACTATACCGGAAGCGATGTAGAGAGATATAGATTTTATGTGCTTGCTATCTCGATCGATTCGTGGAAAATGTGGGAAGGCGGGTTTCTCTGGTGAATTACGGACGACACTATAAACGTATTACACAGCTTTTACGTCAAAGTCTGTAGAAAATACGGAAAGACGGATAGAAAGTACGTTGTATGTGCTATATTGCATAGTGCCAAGTCAACGTGCATTTCTTTGCAACGACGGGACAACTATAGATGTGGTAATAAAATGACCATATAACGCGAAGTAGTCGATATCTCATGATTTATGCTTATTATGTGATAACCGAGTGACATGCTATCGTATTAAATACCACTGTGCGCGAGTGCGCGTAAACGTACTATTACGGTCTCAGAAAAAGGAAAGTTATCGTGAATTCATAATAGACAGCGACACAAAAATGCAATGGTATTTAAAAATTGACTTACCTTCGGTTTGATGACATCGTAATGTCCTTCCGGCACTCTTGAATCATAAATACCGCTTGATACCGAGTTTTGCCTCCTGCAAACAATAAAATATTACTAACTTGAACATTGCACTACATATGTTTTGAAAATAAATAAGATCATGAACTTTGTGGAAAAGATAAAAATATACGCAAAAATAATTTAAAAAATATATAAATAATACATAATAATAAAAATCAATCGTAGAATATCTTTAGCAAAATAAGAGATTAGAGAAAATTTGTTTTAGAGAGCAGGAAAGAAAGTTATTTCGATGCTAAATGTACCGATATTAAATGACGTAATGCCTCTTAAAGAGCCATAAATTTTTGCGTATCTGTTGCAGCAGAGTTTTTTATACGATGCGTCTTGAAAACTTACGCGACTGGATCCGATCCATTGATCGTAGGCTTGGGTGACTGGATTCCAGATCGAACAGGTGCACTCGTGTGAACGGGCGAAGGTCCTTTACTTCCCAAAGGTTGCTTTATCCTACAAATGCCAGAACAAACACGAACGATAATTCTCGACGGTAATCAGGTTTCATCACACGCAACCATAAATTCTTTTAAGATACGAGGACTTTATGGTTGGAGATATTTATACGCGATCATCTATCATTTATTAATCTCTCGTTTCCGTTGATATGTTCCAGCGATCTCACTATTAAGTCGGCGTAAATCCAGCCATTTATTTACATGTAATAGCTACGTATAATAGTTATACGTAAAACACATCTGAATCTAAGAAGCACAAAATCTAAAATTAATTTTGTTTTTAAGCAGAAGAGATTAGAAAAAGTTTGATCATCATTTTCAAGATAAACTAAATAAGTGTGAATCCATGAAAATTTGAAAATAAAATAATCTAAAATATATATTTTTTAATAAAAATGTATATGTTATGGATAATTTATTTGTTTTTGTTTCTCAGGCGTAAAGAGTTTCTCTACCGAATCATTAGATCAAATAATTTATTATATCCTGTTTAACGTCTATTCTTTTTCTAAAGAATAGGCTTGGGAATTAGCCATGACCGCGATTTTCATACAGAAACAGAAATGAAGAAGTCTAAGAAGTCGCGAGACCTCTCCCAACCCGAGCTATTACTCAAGTGAGACGTGATTTATTGGGGATTCGTTGTCACCCTCCGAGTTTCTAACACGGAAAAACGAGACGTTGGTCTATGTTGACCTCTGTGAACTTGCCTGCCTTCCAGAGGCATGAACAGCGGATTAAGTATCATCTCAAGTATAATCTCAAATGATGCGACGTGCATGAACGACATGTAATAATTCATAAGTTGTATTATCTGCTGTGAGACTTAATGTATGTAAAATTTTTCTATTTTCGAAGTTTCTTGCACCTTTTATCAATCGCGAGAATCGACGTAATTGTTCACTTAAAGGTGAACCAATTTCATAATGGCGTCGTAAAGAAGCTGTCAGTTTTTTCAATGTAACGGTTTAATACATACAGATGATTTACAATCCGACATTCTCTAAATCACTGAAACAATCTCTTCAGTCGATCATCGCGCAATGGCTCAGTTTTCGTTACCGTTATACAAAATCGCGCTGCATCACGGCGCGTGCTGCGTTCTCAATCGAGGTAACGTTTTCCGATGCGACATGAGCTCCCGGCATAGCTTCACAAGCTCAGCAAGTTGCGTCTTTACTAAGAGCGTGGCTTATAAATTATACAATAGAACACAATAAATACGATTGACTCATATTCATGGAAATATCATATGGTAATCAATTAATATTTGGGAATATTGATCATTAATCGATAAATATGTGCATATTCTCTAAATTGATCTATGAAGTGGAATTTCACTCTGAGTCAATTTTGAAAAAAAGTGACTCAATTTTCATTCTTTAAAAGTGAGATTTTACTCTAAAAGTTTTAGAAATTAGAAAAATATATACGCGGATTATAATGTGACATTGTAGATAATATTTATCATATATCAATCGCAAAAAAGCGTTTTACACAATGTATCATTGTCAGTATATCATTATCAATTGATAATTTCAAATCTTTTTTAAAAACAGCAGCTGTAGATTTATTTGAAAATAGATGGCTCGTAAAATTGAACTAGATCAAGAACAATTTGGCTATTCTTAAAATAACTATTAAATATTTATTAAGTCTCTGTATCGTAAACATTATATGTTAAAATTTTTCAAAGAAAAAAATTAATATCTCAAGATTATTAAAAATTCAAATCGATTTGACATTTTGGATCGAGAATGTCAGTAGACTACGAGTATACGGTAAATGTCACCGAGCGACCGAACAAGTAATATTTACCGACTTATGCACGGCGGCGTGGAACTGACGCTCCGGAGACTGCACGTGCTGCTGTGACTGTTCTGTTTATTATAAGTCGGCCGATTGTTAGGAGGCTGCACGCAGATCCGTTCGGCGATGCGGAATCGCGGCGTCGTCGGTTTGTGATAAATCATGCTTCCTGCACGTTCTTCGCCGTCAAATCGTGATTCGTCTTCACGCCTTCATCACGCCACGTACAATTGAGTTGCCTTTGCGCGGATAATTTCGCACACGACAAAGGTTTTTCGACGAGCGAAACTCGAGGGTCGATGGTCCCTCGCGGTTGCAACGGAATGCACTTGACGATCGACACGGCTCCAAAACGCGAAAAAAGAGCGATAGTTGACCGCCCAGGAAGCCGCGGAATTTGTTTCGTTTTGCTGTTGAGACTGGCGTGCGAGAGCGGTCACGAACGACGAACGGTATGTCGTTTGCTGCTGCAGCTGCAGCTGCGGGCGGTACCGAACCGATACTGCCGGCCAGGAGGCCCAACGCGACGTGGAGTATCTCGAGGGAGCAAGAGCGGTGGTGGTGACTATGATTCGCCTGGCAGCGGCATTAGGCACGACTGAGCTCAGGCCTGTCGGAGCTCCGACTCCGCTCGTAATAACAAAGCGTATCGCGAACCTATCAGAGGCTGCTTTGATTCCCTCCGGTCGCCTGCATGTACGGCGCAACGCGGTGCATCCACGGCGATCAGCTGTCGCTGTGCGCGCAACCGCGATACTTCGCGAATACAATTCACATCGAGAGGTGTAGAAAGTTTTGCGAGCTCTTAGGGAGCTTAAATGTAAATGTAGAGATAAATGGGATATGGTGAGAAAAACACTGTTGCCTGCTCCTTTAACGGAGTAAATAGCGTGACGACATCTCGCTCTCTTTTATGCATTTTGATAAATAGAAAGTTTAAGAGGCGAACATCAAGAACGATTAGTCAAATAGAAAATGTACGAGGGGTATGTGCAGGAAGCGTTAGATAATAAAATTACGCGAGAAGTTTTTTGGTCTATATGTATCTTAATTGTTATTTGTTTTTCTTTGAACAATGTGAATCCTAATGTATGTGAAGATTCTTAATAAACTCTACCCATTTCTAATTCCTATCGATGTAATTTAATTTTAATCTCGCGCGATTTAAAACTTACTCTCCATCTTTTTCTGAAACAAGAATTAGAAAGAGATGAAGAATAAGTTGGCGGAAACGAACGTTAGTAAAATATTTAAAGTATCCACACAGATGGCTTTTTTTATTATGATATATTGTTTATCATAAATATAGAAAGGTATAAAATTAGAGCTGTGTTAAATATGAAAGAAAAGCATAAAATTAGAGTTAATAAATATAGAAGAGATGTAAAATTAGGACTAGTAAAATTTTTTTGATCGAGCTATTACTTTCAACTGGATATAAATTTTCGAACGAAAGAACATCAAGCGCGCGAACAATCGCTTTCGAAAGAATCGCGCGAAGAACATCTGGCAGATGTCCTGCTTCGAGAAACAGAAGATACAAGCGTCTCACAGTTATTTCTCGCAGTTAAAATGATATACTCAATTTCACAGCATATCGCCACACTTTCTGCCTTATACCAGCAACGAACATGAGTTCCTATGAATTTTTAAATGGCGTTCAGCCCGCTCGTCAGCAAAAGGAATTCTTCGTTCTGCTTTCTTAAATTATGCCCGCGCATTAGGCTTTACATTGCCGACACAAAATATTCCAAAGCAACATCGGTGCACTAAATTCCCGTTTTTTCGCGTTATTTCCTGCCTTACAATCCTACATTTGCCCGCGATCAACAAACTTTCATGACTCATTCCGTTTCAAAACGTGATACGCTTACGCGATATGAAATTCGTAGTAATCTTATTGCACTACTACGCGAATATATTTACAAATATCACGTATTGTTTATAAATTTGAAAAGAGGCTTGATAAATATATTGTAGATGTAGAACAGTTATGTTAAAATAAATTAATATAATCATTAATAACTTTTATATAATATATATAATCTCATCATCAAAAAAATAATTATTCTGTTTATTAAAACTTTACTTTCTTTCATCTTTGATTTTGTTTAATATATTTTTAATTAAAAGGATAATATATGTATTTGATAAAATATTTTACGTAAACTTATAATTAAAGCTTTTCTACGCTTCGATAAGTTTATATATTACATAAGTCGCAGGCAATTATAAAAGAAATTAATTAAATAATTTACATAATCGCGCTTGATAACTCAATTATGTAATTAATTGGTCCTTTGACCGCATGAAAATTTACACAACAAATAAACTCGTCGATGTAGAACGGTTATTGAAAGCGGATTTTGTTTTCTATTCATCTTTAACCACAACACCTGGAGTGTTCAATGCTAACGAGGCGCTTTTAATTCAAGCAAATGATAGAAAAAGAGAGACTGCCTCGCGATTACTTCGTATTCCGATGATGTTCCAACAAAGCCTCGTTTGTTACCAATGACGACCGCTCGCGCGTTCTAATTACGAGTTGCATCTTGCCGTATACGCACAAGTAGGTGGCTGCGTTACAACGGATGAACAGCGCCGCCATGTCGAGAGAATCTGAAGACTCATCTTTGACATCGGCAAGATGTACCATCAAGTCGAAACAATTTTTCGCCTAGTTAAGGAAATTTGATGCGTTACATTTACGTGAGCGTAATTTATGGTATATAAAAGCAGCGTATTTGTGTCGCACGACATTCTTAACAGTACGGTGTAAATAGATAGTGTAAATGAAATTATTAGAAAGACCGACAACAGCATCTTGTGTGACTCAATCTTATGTATAATTTTAAAAATTTCATGATATATTTCTGCGACTTTTTATATTCTATCGAAGATAAAATATTGCGTATTACATACTTTGTCCTCTATTCGAATATTTAAAAACTTCCTTTTTGTCACTTTAATTTGCTTTTAAAAACTCTATTTTTTGGACAATTACAAAAATTAAGTAAAAACATAAAGGCTATTAAGAGTCAACGCTGTTAGCAGTGCGCAAAATATATAATCTTAAAATCTAAAACATATTAGATATTATGTCGAACGTCTATTTTTTGGAATTTTATATTTTAAAATAATTTAACTTCAAATATTCATGTTAAAAATAATTTTATAAATTTTTAATTTTAATGACGAATTATACAAAAATATCTCTAGTTATCCACATTTTAAAAATCATAGAATATTTTCAAAAATATTAACATAAAAGTAAAAATTTCTTTCAAGCTATGTCATTGTTTTGAAAGATGACAGAATGCTTCAAAGGTAAAGTATTTCAAAAAGAGCTTTATAAGTCGTTAACAAAAACAGAACGCGCTGTCCGATAAATCTAGCGAATCATCAAGAATAACCACGTTTGTTGAACTCGTCAAAGGATCAAGGGCCCTCATTCGGCCTCCATCTCATCGACCGCGAAACAGCATCGTCTATATACGCCATATTTCGCCGTTAACGAACTGCCAGACACTCGAAACTCTCCTTTGGACTCCAAGTTAATTCCTCGATTCATTCCATGAAAATGTCAACATTGTTACTCTAGCTTCGTTAGTATGTTAGTGAAAACATAACTACGAATGAAAATACTATTAAACCGCATATACGACGAAGTAATTATTACTCAGAAAATATCCCGTAATATATTCATAGGTATATTTTAAGCTAGCTTCTCTAAGCTGACTCAGATTTCATAAATGAAAGATGAAACTATGTGACAATAATTTTATTATTATTACAAATTATAAACGTCACATCAATTTTGATCTCGATTATAAAAAATATTGATTAACTAATGCAATCATTAATATATAAATAAATAAAGAATTTAATTAATAATTTGAATTTCAATTCATGTTACTATTTTCTATTTTTAAACTTTAGCGACATCAATGATTTTAAATTACAAAAAATGCATAATAATTACTAAATATTAATTTTTATGCAAATAATGTAATACGTTTGTAAATTCGACACAAATGTACAAAGTTTATGTGTTGATACACACTTTCTAGGATGTAGTCACGTATATGAATGAAACAATGCTACCATAAATATAGAGGTATGTGAGTGAATCATCGATAGGGCAGGACCGAGACGACGGAATTGTACGGTCACCGTTTTGCTGTATACATGCATCCGGTATCCGGTTCGAGCACGATGTCAGCAGTCGATGCCAATGAACTGTGATCGAATTCCGATTTCGATTACCAGTGTCTGCAACGTTCGCTTTCTCGAAGGTTGTTTCAATCAGTTACGAAATGACATATGAACAGGTATTAAAATTATTTCCTGAGATCAAACTGGTATTAATTTAAAAATTTTATACAGGAAGTGTGGAATTTGAACAATTTATTTTTCAAGTCTTTTACTTGGAAAGAATTAAAAATAAAATTTTCGAAGAATATTCTTCAAATATTTTTCATGTAAGTTATTTTAATACCGTTTAAAAATTTGCACAGCAAATCCAATTATTAATATAACAACCAATAATCGAGCAATTATTGGATTTACAATAATACAATAGTTACTAAATTTAATAAGACATAAGTAGTACAAATAATACAAATACGTTTATTTTAAATATTTAATCAATTTGTAATTTGCCAACTTTATTTTAAAAGAACACGATTATTGAATTATTTAATAGATTTCTGAAACAATTGATTTTACGTTTTATTATCTTTTAAAAATGTCCCTACGACTTCTTTCAAGACGAAAAATTAGGTAGAGGCAATAGAAATAGTCAAAATAATAAGTTTTTTTTACCGATTCTCGCAAGAGGGTAACGGTCTATTTTAATCATCACTTCATTGGAGTCTAAATCTAAGCCGCTATTCTCAGCACGCGTTTTACCATAATAAACGCGACAAAGGCATTTCGCTATCGCCATCTGTTGGAGAATGCAACGAGCTCCAACTTTTCATTAGGTGCATTCGATGCAACAGGACTGATGTAGGCAATACTGACAGTACATATATTAAATATGCGGTAGTGCCATTTAAAAAATATTGCATGATATCTTAAACCGCGTGTTCTTATGTTTTATTATGCGAAAATATATTATCTGTCTAACAATTTAAAAATCATAATATATAACTATATGTCTTTATGATTCTTCGTTGGAATTATTTTTTAAATAAAATGTAACACTATAAAATCACTCACCCTTCTCCCTGAAGTCTATTATCCGCTACTTGCATAGGTAATGGTGCAGCTAACTGTCTGACTAATTCATCCCTTTGTTGGATAGTCTCCTGCAACCTTTGTTTCTGTTTCTGGTATTCTTTAAATAGGCCACCATTGTAATTTTGTTCGAGGTTGTCGCTAGGAGCCATCATTGCTCTAATCGGTACCACGGATGGGTCTGTAATTTTAGCTGCGACTCCCGTAGGCTTTTCCGCCAAGGAGTCCCTTCTGGAACTCCTAGCAGTCGAAGGCGCCGGTGATTCCCTTCCAGCTACTCTACGTTCCGGCGTGGATGTCGCTGAAGGATCCACTTCTACGCCTACATTACAAAAATTATAGATTTTCGAAATAATTTAGAAGTTTTTAATATAGAACTACATGTATATATAATACATTTAATAAATTCATCAATCGTGGAAATAAAATCAATCAAAATTAAATAAATTAATAATAATAATTAAACATATGTTATTAAACATGTATTACATAATTAGGATAAAAAAATTTATTACTTTTATTAAAAATCTTTTAAAAATACTTTTAATATTCTATTGTGCACAAAGCAAAATGACTTAAAAATTTATAAATATAAAATGTATTTTATAATCTTACCATCAGGGCTTTTGGAGTGTCCTCGAGTCCTTGGCGGAGCCTTAGGTTGAGCATTCATCGCAGTCTCTTGTATCGAGGGTAATTGTTGGAACTCGGCGTAATTCGAACTAAGGAAGACGTCACCCTCATTCTCGAAGAGCCTATCGACGCTAGTATTCATTAATTTGTTATTTTTAAATCCGGTTAAATGGAAGCTAGCGAACGACGACCTAGACATCGGGTTTACGTCGCCGACGGATAGCGCCATAAGCGCCGCTGATGGTATAGAAGTGTTCTTAGGACTTCTGGGTCCGAGACCAGCTTCCAAAGCCGGCACTAAACTACGAGACATCATATCTGCGGCAGATCTTGGCCTAGTAAATGGCATGGCGCTGTGCGGAAAAGTCTTCGGCTTGATCGGCGTTATTAACATATGCTCCGTCCACGAAGTCTCCAAGGAGGGCCTTTCCAAGCGTTCCACATCGACATTCAGGGTTCTTTGTGCAAAGGGTACGGCGAACGTCTCAGGAGGTATACTTTGAAGCCATGAAAGTAAACTTAAGTCCGAATCGCTAAAACCCACGGATCCATCCAGTAGCCTTGAAAAACTCATTTCTACCTATAATATAAAAATGTACGGAATAAAATATTTATAAACAAAATAAAACTAAATCATAAAATGCGTACTACATATCGTTTCTTACATCAAAAATAATATAAACTAAAAAAACATGATTTTCGAGTTATCATGAATGAGTCAGGTAAAGATTATTTTATCAACCATCAAAAGTAAACTAACTTAACTTCAATCTATCCGCCAAATAACACTTGTATCATTTTTAACATTTTCAAAGAGATAATATTTTCCACAAGTATGAGTTTTAGTACAAAGTACCATTTTGAATTTTTTGTAAATAAAAAGAAAAGTCTTCTACAGAGAACGTTTATAGAGTTAAGATAGTTTTGATTATCAAAGTTTAAAGAAAAAATTGTTTTATTTTAAATTTATAGATTATTTAAATCATTTTAGAAAATAAAGGTATAAATATAAACTGTTGGTGGTACTTAGAGTGATATTTGTCATTTTTGATAAATTATTTTAGATTTGTCATAATTTTATATAAAAATTTTCAAAAAGAGTGAATTTTTAATTTATAAAACACAATGACAAAATCGACATTTGATCATGTTTCTAAAAATAACTTTTTGTCGATATTATTTAATTAGTCAATAATTTTCTGTTAAGTTGAAAAATAGTTTTTCCCCTGTTCTCAAAAACTTAATTTTTTTAATTGCTTCACTTTTGAGATAAGGAAACAATATAAGAATAAGAATAAATGTGAATAACATGTACAAATAAATAAACTATCTAACATTTTATCAAGTAATTATCTAATCGTGTCTACATAAAAAGCAAAAATAATTTTATTTTAGTGTAATTGGACAAATTTTTAACATTCTATTAAAATAAAACAAAAAAGAAAAGATGAGAAAATTACCTGTTCGCTTTCTTTCGATCCAGTAGCTTTCGCTTGACAGTAATTTACGCAGGATTCGTATAAAATGCCCTTGATAATAAGCTGAATAAGCCGATCGTTTTTCGCCGAAGTAATCGGATATGCGGGGTCGGCGCTCTTCCTATCACCCGGTAGGAACTTCTCTACCAAAGGATGAACCTCGCGGAAACATTGTACTCTCGCATTACTGGGATTCCAATCTTTGTACTGCAGATGATCTGTTAGCCGCGGCAGAGTAAGCAACAGACACAGGCTGCTATACTCCTCCTTGGAAGGTGCGACCTTTTCGAGGTCGCTCAATACCTTGACGACTTCTTCTACGGCATTATCGACACTGCCGTTCGTCCCAGCGGCGATAACATTCGCTTCGGATTTGATGCACAATAGCTCGACATACTTATGGCGTAAGATCGAATACGTGAACTTTCTCATGTCGAAGTCCGACAGCGCTTCCAGCGGCTGGATAAACTCGAGCACGTCGTCCCATTGTCCGTCGAGGATCAGCTGGCGCAGGAAAAGCACATCGTCGCTGTACTGGCCGTTTATTACACCGGTCTCACGTTCGAGCGAGAGCTGCGAGATGTGAAGGTCGCGGCTATGGAGGAACTCCAAGGTCAGGCGCACCACATCCTCCTCGCGCAGCGTCAGATGCGCCGCCGGCATCACGTACCGAATACGCAACCTGGATCATTTCATTAAAACATCATGAAATGACATATCGTGCCTCATTCATATGTTATACGAAATCACTAAGGCCAACATATAATTTGTAAAAAAATGTTTATCTAGAGGTAAATCACTGGAAAACTTTTATGCTGCTGAATATTAAATTTTGTATATAGAACGCTCTTAAAATCATCTTTCGTTAATTGAATTATTTGGTAAAAATACGTTTCAGTTTCTGCGAAATATTTCCGATTTTTTGAGTTACAATAGCTTTGTGAAAATGTAAAGAAAATAGAAAAATTTGAAATTATATAATATTTACGAGTTTGAAAAGTTGAATGTATAGTATCGTAAAATAATTTTCACATTTAGAAAGCTTCATATTAATATGAAAAAATTGGAGACCAATATATGAAATTCAACTATGAATTATGAAAATAAAAATTTTTCTTTTTAACTTTAAAAAATCTTTAAAACCTACGCATATAAACGAATACGGTATTGTGAAAATAACTTCTCATTCTAAGAAATATTGAAATTACAGAGGAATTAGGAGTAATTTAACACGAGACATTACCATATATTGCTAGTGGGTATTACTATGTATATTTCAGATATTACTATGTAATATCTGAAAATTATGAAATCGCTTCAGGAATTTACCTCTTGATTTCAAGCTTTGCGTGCTATAACGCGAGATAACGATGAAACGCAGACGAAAGCTTGCTTAACGATATTTATATTCAGGGGGGCCTGCAGCGAGAGAGAAGTCTAGATCAACATCTCGGCATCCAGCCACCCACTTACGCAATAATCAGGGCACGTCTGCGGGTGCGCTGGCCTCGAAGTGCAACGAACTCTCGCGAGGAAATACTATTTCGTGCATTTCATACATGCATATCATTACTGGGTTTCGTAATCGTGAGTTTTACAATAAACGGAAGTCCGTGCGCGAGTCGAATAACGTCCGCACGAATCATGATAATCGTTATAGTTCTTTCGCAAGTTAGCTGTTAAGCAAACGCATGCCCTTTGCGATATAACGCGAGCACAGGATTTTTTTAGTCAATTCGCAAATGTAGCAATTTGCATTAACGATGTTTCCAGAATGCGTGTATGAGTAATGCTATAGTTTCTTTTTAAATATTTGACGACGTTCGTATTTTTGGCTCGAACGATTTTTCAGTAGCCACAATGTGCAAACTGCTCAAATTACGGAATATACGAAATTCATACATCAGCGATTCTGTGGGTATTTACACTTGGCGACAGACCGAGGATCGTGTCAGTCTCGGGCGAATAGCAAGAGCAACAAGAAATCACGATGTTTCCATATTGGGGATTAGTGAGTGAATTTTTCTGATATATATATATATTTTTTATATTTACATTTTTATAAGCCCTTCTGAAGACAGAACTTTTCAATAATTAAACTATACATATATCATCAGCATTAAGCAGAAATTTTGTAGAAATTAATACATAATGATTAATAAAACATTAATTTCTTTTTTTGTATTTTATTCCTCGTTTTTCATTCAATTTTTATATTCAAAAGAATAATAAAATGGTAAAATAATGCTCCATAGATATAATCTCACTCAATGATTTTAAACTATTTAATAAATATAAATACTTTAGGGAACAAATTTCGTATTGAATATCTATTCGCGAATAATCTATATGAAATTTCCTTGATCATTTCAGTTCTTAGTAGCGACAATTTCGTTAGCAAGTGTTGTACTTGCTGACGTCATCGTTCAACCCGGTTACGAACATTCCGGCAATAATCCATATCCGCATCAGATGAACACTCCTACTGAACAATATCACACGAAACAATTACCGAACCAACAATTGCGATATCTTCAGAGTACTCGAACGGTGTATCCCTATTACGAATCCAAAGATCATACCAATCTGTTAGGCTATCCATATCAACCGTATCATCATTCACCGTACGATCATTTTGCACCGAGGAATCATGAGCATTACCCAAGGATAGGAACCCATGAATATACGCATCCTTCGGCATTTGTCGGCTATCGACAACCTTATTCGGTAAGTGCTCATCACACTGCTAATATGACATTTGTTTCATTAATTTAACTTCGCAATATTTTGTTATCGTCTCATTGATATCGTAATTTTATTTAATTTGATATTTTAATGTAATATTTAATTTGAAGAGGTAAGTATGTGTGTGAAATATAAAACTTAACATTAATTTAACTTGTGCAATAAATATTAGCTTTTGTAATATAATTTAACGTCATTATATTACAAAAGCTTTTTTCTTTGAGTAAGTTATAATTAAATACTGATATTTATTGTGTACATGGAAATTGATCCAATAATCGATTTAAGATTTCTTAAAAACGACATTTCCTCAGACAGGACACTACCGCGGGAGGGGTGGTTCGCACAACTGGGGTGGTTCGCACCATTACCGATACAGAAGATCACTTGACTCCGATTCTACAAACACGGCATCTAGTGAATCTGCGATCGTTACACATGACAATGATGTGGCCTCGAAGTCGCCCTTAACCGATGACAAACATCCTAAAGCCACCGACTCGTTACTTCCAGAACATGAGCCTACTAATACTAATGGTAAATATCTTAAAGAACAAAAATAAAATTTGATATCTCCGTAGGATAATTTAATATGCTACAACTTATTTTTGCGAAAGTAGCGCAACTCTAATTTATATGCATATAAATTCCAATGAAACGTAAATTAATATTTCGATATTAATATGAATCGACTTTCAATACAAACTACTTAATTACAGATAAGCATGTGGAGAACCGTCAGACTAAAATTGACCATATAATGAGACCACGTTTATTCGGCATATATCCACAAAATATAATATCCTATCATCAATATCCAGATCCGAAAAACAAAATGCAAGATATTATTAAACTTTCTTCCTATCCTGGCATGTTAAGTTTAATTGAGGAATCTCAGAAAAATGAAGAAGCTTGTATAGATAAAGAAAATTCATATGTTCTTAACAATAAGCCCTCTACAAGACTCGAGGAAGTTTTGGAGGAAATAAATGACGGTAGTGAATACCGAGATGCATCCTCGACGGTTTCAGAAGATTTTAGTAACATCCTAGCAGAAAATATGAGACATCAGAGGGAAAGAGGTTACACATATTTGCCACGATTTATTTTACGTTTGGATGAAGCAGCGTTGGAGAAGTTGTACTATGAGGTCTTTCAAGAATATGTACAGGTAAAGATTTTAATATTAATATAATTTGTTCCATGTTATTAGCAATTATTTTTGTCCAATTTATAGAAATTTAATTAGTTATTACGACTGAAAGAATAGGATAAATTTTTACGTAAATATTTTCCAAATAGATTTCAATCTTCGTGATTAATTTGTGGTTAATAGAATTCATTACCTGTAACTTTAATATTAAAAAATACTCTTTTATGCGATGTCAAAAAAATGTCATATAAAATATTTTATATGACATTTTTAAACAGAGAAAAAAGTTTTTAAAAATAATTAATGAAATGCATTATATACATATAGCTGATACACTTACTCAATGTTATGGACCTCGACGTGTCTGGGATACAACTATATGACTTAGTCAGTCCTTATTATCCTGAGAGATTATCAAAACAACTACAGTACACTGCATACATTAAACTCGTACAGAATTATATCAAGGTAAAGATTTTAATATATTAATATAATTTGTTTGAAATCATTAGAAATTATTTTATCTGATTTATAGAAATTTCGTTATAGTTATTGTGTACAACTGAAATAATAGAGATCTTTTACGTAAAAATATTTTTCAATTATATCTCGATCTAAATTTGATTAATAGAATTCACTATCTGTAACTTTAATACAAAGTATCTTATATGATATTCTTAGAAAAAAGAGAAACATAATTTTTACAAATAATTAATAAAATGCATTATGTAGATATCACGGTTAATCGAAGATACGAACAAGATTAAGACAAGACAAGTCAACATGAAATCATACATTCCTTTTTATTCTCAAATGTTTCCGACAATTAATGTACCGATGAAAAATGAAATGGATTCACGGACACCCGACAACGCTGAAATAACACATAATCTCGAACAGGACCTACCTACATCATTTCTTTCATCAGTAAGTGATTCCAATGGAGGTAATTATCCGTACTATCGTTCAAAATGTCGTACGTCTTCTCCAAATCATTCTTTGGATGACTTTAAGAACAATTTAGAATTGCAAAAAAACTCCAATTCAGCTCATAATATCGAGCCTTCAATTTCGATCCCTAATTATAGCTATATCCCTAACTATATGTCTAATTATGATCCTAATTATACTCCTGACATCGATATCTCTGTTGTCCCTGACTATAAAGTTCACGAAGATTAGTGTTTGGAGCAATTTATATCGCAGACGCAGTCTTTAGACGCATACATTTATCCGTCATGAAAGAAAATACATGCTATTCTACTAGATTATAGATATTACAACAACTATCCAAGTGATACGCCACTTTATGACACGTTTTCGTCACCAGTTTATTATTAGTAAGGCGCTTCTATAGATATGACGTTGTTATCGATTTCTGTCACGTTACCTTGAAGTAACGAGTCGATTGACCGTAATGGTTTTCATGTTCTATTTATTATAATTATTCTCATGCACGCATAACTTTTTATAAGCGCACATCCTTCATCCTCCGTCCACTCGGTAGTTGAACTTTTATATACATTTTTTCCAAATAAGAAATAAAATGTTTTGTTTAATTTTTAAAAATCTATGTGTATGTACTGTGTATGTGTATGTAAATTCGTAAATAAATGTATTTTATGAGAATATTATATTTTTTTTGTTATTTTTAATGCATTGTAAATTTTATCATATTTTGTAAGATTCCTAATTACTATTTAAAATTATCCGAATTTGTACAATATTATATGCATAATAACTTTACTTTTCATTCTAATGTATTTAAAAAATGATTAAACTAT